TTGCCATAGTTTGCTGTGGTCCACACAGTCAAAGGCTTTTGCAGAAAGTCTACAGGAAAGTAAAAACATTCCCACCCACCCAGCTCAAAATGTTTAATTCACTTGGGACAGGGAAGCAGCGAGGAAAAGACATGACCAATAAAATTTGGGAGCTGTTTTGACAACAGCAGGCTTCCATTCTGCCCCGTGTCCTACAGCTCTGTGTGAAAACGCCCCCTACCCATTTTATTATCCAAATTAACCTACCCATATCCTCACCTCAGATCCATTTACATGCTTATTATGTCATATATTCTCAATTACCTTCAGAATAAAATCAGATTTATTTATTTTTTTGAGCCCACACTCCAGAAAAGCTCAGGCAGTGGCTTCCATGTTTATTTGTTTATTTATTTTAATTTGATTTTTATACTGCCCATCTGCCCCAGGCCACTCTGGCGCGGTTTACAAATGACGATAACACAATAAAATACAACACAATAACACAGAAATAAAGTTTAAAAATAATACCAGTAAGAAAAAAAACATTAAAATAATAACATTTCACCAATCAGAATGCAATGATTTCTGCAGTTCAGATCATTTCATTCATTTGTCCCTGGGTATTTTATATCATGAAAGGACAGATCCTGAAGCTGAGGCTCCGATCCTTTGCCCATCTCATGAGAAGAGACGACTCCCTGGAAAATACTCTGATGTTGGGAAAATGTGAAAGCAAGAGGAGAAGGGGACGACAGAGGACGAGATGGTTGGACAGTGTCATCGAAGTGACCAACATGAATTTGACCAAATTCTGGGAGGCAGTGGAAGACAGGAGGGCCTGGCATGCTCTGGTCCGTGGGGTCACAAAGAGTCGGACACAACTTAACAACTAAACAACAACAATATTTTATATCATAACAGGTCCCTTCCAACTCCATTATGATTCTACAATTCTCTCCCTAGATCATGAAGGGGTGTAAATTTGCATCAAAGAGAGATTTTTTACTTTCTTCCCTTTCTCTGTTATCAGGCAAAAAGTTTACTCATTTCTATCCAGAAGTTGGAAAAATAGATAAAAAGCCACTTCTATTGAAGAAAACAATTTATCTTTAAGGAAAGCTTGGCCAAATGCTTTCTCTCAGCCCAACCCACCTTACAATGATGTCTGCAGTCTCAATGGGGGTTTTCAAGTCAGGAGAGCTATTCAATGGGTGGTTCATCACTGCCACCCCCTAGGGAATTTCCCTAGGGGAAAGTAGGAATTCGAACCCAGGTCTCTTGAGTTGTATTCTGGTTACTCTATCCACCACACCACATGGATATCAAAACACAGGGTGAAATTCTTGACAGCCTAGGTCCCATTCATTGTGTATCCCTTTCATTGTGTATTCAAACACCCTCTATATTATATCACTGGTTTCAGAAACCAGTGATATAACAGTGAAAATTCTCCAGGTATAATCTCTATTGACCGTTGACACAAGAAGTGGAATGTGTAAAATAGTGTGAGAAATTATTCTAAAAGAACTAATTACAAACAAGCCAGAAGCTTACCTTTCTGGCCTATGCTTGTACTTCTCTTTTGAAGCAGTGCGTCGAAAAAATCAAGATTACCAGTGAGGTAATCTTGATCTTTTCAACGCAGTACTTTTGAAAAGGAACTTTACTACACCTCTGTTATATTCTCTAAAAATGAGTGAGTCGCTGGTAATAATGTGATTTATATTACTTGTTATTTATTACTTCCTAGTTCTTTTCCATAAACCAGCAACCAGGGAGGACGGGCAGATCCTAAAGTTGCAGGTGGGTGGAGGGTGGAGAGGAGACAAATCCTGGAGGCAAAGACAAATAAGCACATTTCAGTCCTCACCCTGTCTCAAATCTTTCTTTCGGAACATATGATTTTAGATTGTTCTCCCTTCAACTCTGCATTGTCAGCATTTTCCGTGCAAGGCACAGGCTCAGATTTCAGGCCGACGTGTCAGAAAGATTCTCCTCTACCTCCGAGGCAGGTACACCTTCTACAAAGCCTTGTCGTATGAAATATTCAGAAGCCGGTGCCATAAAAATAACATTAGCTGCCCCACCAGCTTTCCGAATGTATTTTCTCCTAGTCTTTTTGCCAAGAGCTTTCATTTGTTTTTGTCTTAAACCGAAGAAGGGGGCGTCCCAGTCTGTATTTAAGTGCTCATAAAACATGATTTGCTTTTGCTAAATCACAAAAACTAGGCAACACGTTTGCACGGTGAAGATGAGCAGAAAGCCTTGTGGGAACGTCTCCAGCTAATCCTGCAAGCGAAGGCAGAGTAACGCTCCCTCCGGAACGTCCTGTGCAAGACAGAGAGGTTGAAAGTGGGCAAAGCAGGGATCCGGACTCTGAAAATGAGTCACAGGCTGTCCCACGCTTCTCACAAACCCAGCTGTACCCTGTACAAGTGCAATGTCTGCACATCTTGCACAACTCATTTAAGGAACCCCAGATTTATGAGACTGCCGATTCAGTATGATGGATAGTGACAGACTAGGACCTCAGGAGGCGTGGGTTCAAATCCCTGTTCGGCCATGAAAACTCCCTGGGAGGTGGCACTGATAAAACAACTCCTTAAATATCTCACATACGTGAAAACTCTGTGAAGGTCGTAGACCCAACTTAATGGCACACAACACACACATTTATGAGAGGATCCAGTGTGTGTGAAAGAGAGATTTTTTTTCTTCCTTCCCTTTCTCTGTTATCAGGCTAAAGTTTACTCATTTCTATCCAGAGGTTGGAAAAATATATATATTTTTGGAAGCACACTTCCCAGAAACCCATCGCTAGAATAACCATTACTTTTATCAGACTATAACCCAGAGCTGGCTGGGAGATTCTGGGAACTGTAAGGGGGGGGTGTGTGAAAGAGAGATTTTTTTTCTTCCTTCCCTTTCTCTGTTATCAGGCTAAAGTTTACTCATTTCTATCCAGAGGTTGGAAAAATATATATATTTTTGGAAGCACACTTCCCAGAAACCCATCGCTAGAATAACCATTACTTTTATCAGACTATAACCCAGAGCTGGCTGGGAGATTCTGGGAACTGTAAGGGGGGGGCGAGGCTTTCCTAAGCTCTGGCTGATGCTATGGCACCCTGTTTAGATCCTTTTTCTACCTACTGTACAGCTTGGGTTTGTTAAAGGTAGATCTTCACTCTCCGTGTAGCGTCTTCTACCGTATTACTGACAAGGATGCTGAGATGCGGTGCCCATTCCTACCACCCTAAAGAATTCCTTTCACTACCACAGCCACCTTGACTCATAGTTTGTTTCTAAACTAGAAAAATCCCAACCATCTTATTCTTTCCTCCGGGAGAGCTGCTCCAGAACTCATTCATGCTGATCTTTTCCCTTAAAATCCTCTCCCCTTCCATCTCTTTTAAAGCCAAAACAAAAACAAAAACAAAAACCAAAAAAACGCCCACGGTTTTTAGATCCTTTTTCTACCTACTGTGCAGCTTGGGTTTGTTAAAGGTAGATCTTGACTCTCCGTGTAGCGTCTTCTACCGTCGTACTGACAAGGATGCTGAGATGCGGTGCCCCTTGGGCAACTATGGAATTCTTCCATAGCGTTCAGCTGCTATGGGAGATTTCGAGATGCAGCAACTGGAGGCTAAAAATAAGACTTAGCAGACCAGAAGGAAAAGATGGCCTTCCTCTTACCTTCAGTGAAGCTACCCAGGAGAGTTACTGCAACAAATAACTTTCCTTCAGGTTCCAGGTCCACCTGCAGGAGAACAAGCATGGGAGATACAGATGGTCAACTCTGACGAGAAGCAGCGCTGTTCCTGCCTGCGCATTTCCATAGCCCTCTTCAAGAAAACGGTCATTTGTTACATCATCATCGTAATGTAATTTAGTTACTCCTCAGTTGTTGCAGAAAGGAATTAATTACAATGCCCCTTATTTCTAATGAGTTCCACACCCTCTAGTTAAGTTCATGTGCAATGGAATCAAGTTACATGATCTTGCTCACAGTTTCTCCATTTAGAGAAGAGTTTAAAGGCCGGATTATGCACCTTGTGTGTGTGCCCACCAGCACAAAGGGAGAAATTTGGTTTCTATATTAATTTGGTCTGTCTTTTAAGACAAATCAGCCCAAATTCACATCGCCCCAGTTTATTCTTATCAGTACGTCACTAAATAAAACAATTAAATCAAATTAAATCAAATCAGCAAAAATTCATGCCGTGAATGAATTAGAACACAAAAATACACATGTTTCTGAAAAGAGATGGGGCGGGAATTGTACTTTGGGGGAAGGCTTATAAAAATATGTGCAAATTTTCCTGAGAGCTTTTAAAAGCATTCACAGATACGTTGATTCAGAAATGGGAAGAGGCGAACCAAGGCTGGGGAAAAAAAAATCTCAAGTCATACAAAGTTGAAAGGTTTCCTCCATTCCCAGCTCATGTGGTCAAATTTAGTAAGAAGACCTCTTCAACATCATCTAAAAGGTCAAACAAGCTTTGTGTCTCAGTCACATCTCTTGAACTCAGTGTTCCTCTTCCACAGAAAATGAATACTGCTTTGGCCAGTTGTTTGTTTACCTCTGCTGTTTGGGGTGTTTCATTAGAAATTCTGTAGTAAGATTTAGATGTCAACTTCGGTAACTCAGTGTTCCTCGTCCACAGAAAATGAATACTGCTTTGGCCAGTTGTTTGTTTGATTCTGCTGTCGCGGTTTAGGGTGTTTCATTAGAAATCCTGTAGTAAGATTTAGATGTCAACTTCGGTTTGCAGGTTTGGCGGGCCAAGGCTTGCTGATAAAGGCAATGCTCAGCATTATAGAGACGGAAATCACACTTTTTGATTCTGCTGTCGCGGTTTAGGGTGTTTCATTAGAAATCCTGTAGTAAGATTTAGATGTCAACTTCGGTTTGCAGGTTTGGCGGGCCAAGGCTTGCTGATAAAGGCAATGCTCAGCATTATAGAGACGGAAATCACACTTTTTATGTCTCTCGAGACTTATGAGAAGAAATGGACTTTGCCTTAAGAATTTGTGAATTTCAGAGGCTGTACGTCATGGGTTTGAAAAGTGATATCTGTGGGCCCTGGGATGACCTCTAGGACTCAAATGCACATCCAACGCGATTTTCAACGACTCAAAAAAGGAGCCTTGTGGCACAGTGGTTAAACTGCAGTATTGCAGTCAAAACTCTGGTCACAACCCGAGTTCAATCCCACATAGCCAGTTTGAGGCTCACTCAGCCTTCCATCCTTCCAAGGTTGGTAAACTGAGTACCAGCTTGCTGGAGTGGAGGTGGGCAAGGCGTAGCCCGCACCATTGCATTGTAACCTGCCCAGACATTGCATTAAGTGCTGTGGGGTGGTACATAAGCAACATGTTCTGCTCTGCTCTGCTCTCTACTGCAGCAATTCTGAACATGGACAATATTACAGACACCCCGGAGGGCTCTAGCACATTTGTAGAGGGCCACAAACTGGAAATAATTCTTTACACTGCTCTACTCTGCTCTCTACTGCAGCGATTCTGAACATGGACAATATTACAGACACCCCGGAGGGCTCTAGCACATTTGTAGAGGGCCACAAACTGGAAATAATTCTTTACACACTATCTTAAAAGGTTCATCATACAATCCTGATTCACCCTATATTTCTTTCATATTGTTTATGGTCATGGTCAAAAAAAGGGGTTGAGAATTGATGTTCTAAATCATGGTCATGGTCAAAAAAGGGGTTGAGAATTGATGTTCTAAAGAGTGCAGGAAGCACCCCCAGCATCCTGTCCTCCCACCAACATCCCAAATGTCTGGCCTCTCTAGAGGGTGTGATAAGGATTTTTCAGATAAAAACGTTTAAGAAAATTTGGAGGTGGGTGTGCAGGTACCACAGGAACAGGTGTGGCTTTCCAGCCGAACAGGTGTGTGTGTTTCTGTGCGTAGCTGGAGGTTGTCCTGCTCTGATTTATGGGATGCTTTGGGGAAATCAAATGAACACAAAACAGGCCCATATTTTAAAACACAGAGGGACAAAATGTGTATAATTGAAAAATACACACAGACATGATTTAGTCAAGGGGAAGAGGGATGCGTTGCTTAATTGGGAAAAATGCATTAAAATGGGCAAAAGCTTCTATGCAAACCAAAGTAGTTTCAACTTGTATGAAGATGGATGGGAAAGGAAAACCAAGACTAAGAGAAATTCACTTTGCATGTCAAAATCTTCATTTCGGTTCCTGCCAGGGTCAAACTGAAAAGGCCGCTTTTCAAGGTTGTTGGAGATCCGCTTGGTCAATGGCCAAAATTCTGTTGCTCAGTGTAGTAAATTGTACTAGAGTAGACCCAGTAATCAATGGGGATTTAGTGGGTCACCTCCTCAGTCAGCTGCATTGATTCAAATGGGTCTACTCTAATTATGACTTATGGTTAGACAGAGTAGACCCATGTGAATCAAATGAATGGAAGAGCTGACTCACTGAAGCCTATGGGCCTACTCTAGTGCAATTTGGTATTCTAAGCAACAAGATTTTGGCCAATATCAATTAAAAATCTGGAAAACTAACAGGTTTTCTTTGACATAAGCTTTTGTGAACTATGCTGGCTGGATAGCTTGGTGGTTTAGGTATCTGGTTGTGGACACAAAGGTTGGGAGTTTGATTCCCGACTATGCCGCTCTGCACAGTCCCAGAGCGCCACCAGAAGAAGGGAATGGCAAACCACTTATGAATGCTCTCTACTGTATTTGGAAAATCCTGAAAAAAGTCACCATAAATCAGAATTGACGATGATACATCATTATTATTATTATTGTATTCTCAAAGGCTTTCACAACCATCATCGTCATCATTATCATCATCATCATCATTATTATTTCTGAATTGCATTATATTTCTTTAGATTTTTTAAATCTAAACATTTTCGGTTAAATGGCATTTTACGCATTTTTGCAGACTTTTCACAAAATCTTTATAGTTTTATGCTATTACTCCATTAATCCTTTTTTTAAAAAAAGACAGCAAGTAATGAGTAATGTAACAATTTATTTTCTCGTATCATAGTAATAGTGAATGATCTATCATTCTGTTTTTCTAATGTGTTACAGAAGAGATTACTTTTCAAAAGTTACGTTCCAAACTCTGTTGTTGTGGTTGTGGTGGTGGTGGTGGTGGTGGTGGTGGTGGTGGTTGTTGTTGTTGTTGTTGTTTAGTCGTTAAGTCGTGTCCAACTCTTTGTGACCTCATGGACCAGACACACTTTCCCAAAATCAGGGGATTTTCCAGGGAGTCTTCTCTTCTCATGAGATGGCTAAAGTATTGGAGCCTCAGCTTCAGGATTTGTCATTTTAGTGAGCGCTCAGGGTTGATTTCTTTCAAAATGGATAAGTTTGTTCTCTTTGCAGTCCAGGGAACTCTCAAGAGTCTCCTCCAGCACCACCATTCAAAAGCATCCATTCTTCGGCGGTCAGCCTTCTTTATAGTCCAGCTCTCACTTCCATACATTGCTACTGGGAAAACCATAGGACTATTCGGACTTTTGTTGGCAAGGTGATGTCTCTGCTTTTGAAGATGCTGTCGAGGTTTGTCATCACTTTCCTCCCTAGAATCAGTCGGTTTTTAATTTCATGGCTGCTGTTACCATCTGCAATGATCATGGAGCCCAAGGAAGTAAAATCTGTCACTGTCTGACCAAGAGCTTAATTTACAAAGCTCTTTGTAAAACATTTAGAAAGATTTAACACAGGCCATATTTGTTCTTTTTTTCTTTATTAAAAATATAGGAGAGTGGGTGGATTTTCATCTGCTGTTCCTTTTATAGCAGTTCTGTTAAAATCTGCTGCACTTCAAGTCACACACAATCTATAAAAAGCTCCCTGCTAATTTCAAGGGGGGGGTGTTCTCTCTCCTAATCTGGTTCTTAAGTGTAAACATCAGCCTCACACCATGTGTAATATCACAACAGTCGAAAACAGGCTGAAAATAAAGTTCTCTGGAGGGATGACTCAATGATTTCCAGCAGCCTTTAGTCATGCCTTAACTTGCAAGCAGGCCAAAAATAAGCATTTTGTTTTAACAAAAAGCCACAAGAAATATTTTCTTTCTAAAGATGAAAGAAGGGTCTAACTCTAATACAAAATGCACAGTCGCCTTGGAGTTCTTCATCATTGCTGATAAAAGTAATCAAGTGCATCAATCTAGGAATGCCTTTAGAAGTACAGGTTTCTCAAAGGCTGATTTGCAATTTGCATCTTCCAGTCTGAACATCAAGATCTTAACTGTTGCCAGGAGCACATTTACACAATTGAAACTAGTATTCCGGCTGCTTCTGTTCTTAAAGGTTTTTGATCAGGCCACGGTGACACATGCCTTAGTTACAGGTTGCTTGGATCCTACACTCAGTATAAATTACAAAAATCACCATGGTTTATCTTACTGGATGTAATTTAGACTGCTTGTTAAATCAAGAACACTTATCCTTTATCGCTGTAAATATTATTCAGCATTTCTCATAGCCACTGAGCTTTCCCCCTCCACAAGCCTTTTCTTGAGAGCTAGAAACTTGGGGTTTCTTTTTTGTCTAAATGCAGCTCTTTTATAGATTGTGTGTGACTTGAAGATGGTGACAGCAGCCATAAAATTAAAAGACACCTGCTACTTGGGAGGAAAGCAATGACAAACCTAGAAAGCATCTTAAAAAGCAGAGCCATCACCTGGCCGACAAAAGTCTGAATAGTCAAAGCTATGGTTTTTCGAGTAGCAATGTAT